CAGAAGCTGGGGGTGAACAGAGGAAAACCGCCACAATCCAGGTATGCTAAATCGAGTTTGTGGAGTCCTATTAACTTCTTCTTTTCTGCTATGATTCTAGTGGCGGATTGCGTGAATATGTTTTACAACACCAGAAACTGTTTCTCGCTCTGTCCCAGTTTCTCTCTCTCTCTCTCTTAAGCATGGACATATTTCAATTCTCTCTCTCTCTCTCTCTCTCTCTTAAGCATGGACATATTTCAATTTCATCTATTGTCACACATTAACTCTATTGATTGCTTGTTGCTTCTGTTATGGGCTGTGGCTCAAATTCATTGTGGTTGCATGGTAATGGTTACCTACAGGGCTAATATCTTGATTACTGTTCTCTTTTCACACTTTGACTCTTTCTTCCACCATCAAGATCATCTCTTGAGTGGTGGCTAAACACAATCACTAGACCAATCTCTTATCACTCTAAATGGGCTGCACTTGTATGTAGTTATATGAATGTTATTATGCAAATTAATATAAATTTTGGCTAATAATCAATTAATGGATTCAGGTTGTTCTAGATGGATATTCAGCACCACTAACGGCTGGGAATATCGCAAAACTGGTAAGGTAGTTGAACCTCACCTTAGCCTCATTATGCTCTCTGTACATGAATCACGTGATCTTGATTTTCCATCCTTTATCCTATATGTTCTATTTTTGTGTTATAATTAAACGGTGCATCATAATAATGAATATAGAGGAAATTTAACAATTGCAGTTATCTGACTAAACAATGGACAAAACGCTTTGACTCATTAACTAAGCAAGACCAACTTTTTAAATAATACAAATTGCTCAAAAACGGTGAAAAAAAAAAATGAAATTTGTTGGCGCATCATTTCATTTCTTCCTTTACCTTCTCCAAAAACTTACATGTAATTATAACTAGGTAAGTAATCAAATTCTTAGAACAAAGTGTTGTTATTGACTTGGATCTTTTTGTTGAGGATTAATCAATGGATTTCTTCTAATGTGTTGAACTTTTCCATGGAATTCTGATAGTCCTGCTAATACCATGGTTAAAAAAGATGTTTTTTGAAATTTTATTGTTCTTTTCCTTGAATGGAAAGCTTAGAATTATTGGACTATACATTCTCTCTTGATAGAATAGACAAAGATTTTTGACAAATTTTCAGGTGATTGATGGAGCATATGATGGGACAAGACTCAATTGTAGTGAACAAGCCATTCTGACGGACAGCGGTCTTGATAAGAATAGCGGTTATAGTGTTCCCTTGGAAATAAAGCCATCTGGGCAATTTGAACCCTTGTACAAAACAACCTTAAGTGTGCAGGTGCATCATCTATTATAGCTAGAATTTGCTTAATCTCTTCTTCTAGATTAACTATTCTCAATCTATTATTTTTGCTTGAAAGGACGGGGAATTGCCAGTTCTTCCACTATCAGTTTATGGTGCCGTTGCTATGGCACATAGTGAAGTTTCTGAGGAGTACTCAGCACCATATCAATTTTTCTTCTATCTATACGATAAAAGAAATGTAAGTGATTGTAGCTCTTTTTTAATTTTTTATTATTATTATTTTTACTGCAGAATGAAGATGGTGAATAGAAGCCTAATTTTATTAATTGTATCATACACTCCGTCTTATCATTATCCTTCTTTTTCTCCATGCTCTTGGATTTCCATCTATCCAAGTTATGACATATATTGTTATTTACTTCTCCGTAGGCCGGCTTAGGGGGGCTATCTTTCGATGAAGGGCAATTTTCAGTTTTTGGGTAACATCTTTAACCTTTAATATGTTTATATAAAATGCCACGAGTTTTATTATTTCAATTTTTTGGTATGGAAGAATATTTATGCTTGTCCTGTGTCCTATTTTGATACACAGATACACGACAGTGGGGAGAGAAATTCTGTCACAGATAAAAACAGGGGATGTAATTCGATCCGCAAAGCTAATTCAAGGTCAAGATCGCCTTGTTTTGCCAAATAAGAGTTGATATGTTCTCTTACAAAATTAAGTTTCATCTTCCATTCCGTTCCATTTTTGTTTTTTTGTTTTTTTTTTATTTTGTATTGACTTTCTTGGTGCAAGCTATGTTGTTTGTATTCATTTAACCATCTTTGGCTATTGCATTCTGACTCCAAACACTTTCAATGGTAAAACCTTCACATATTTGTTTCTTCATAGTACAGTGAATTAAGGAAAACACATTGATAAACAAACTTTACATTACAAAAGACGTTAATAAATATAGAAGAAAAAGACTTTGCCCAAGGAATAACTAGTCAGCTGGCCCTGCNCAGATTCTTATTATGCATAAACTGTAAAATCTGTGCCTTGATTTTGGGTTCTAAGGAACGATCCGTGGTTGTAAATTTTTATTTTCCGCTGCGCAACCGGGTCATTTCCTAACACTTTTACCATCAAGATAATCTCTTGAGTGATGGCTAAACACAATCACCAGACCAATCACGTATCACTCTAAATGGGTTGCACTTGTATGTAGTTATATGAATGTTATTAGGTGCAATATAAATTTTGGCTAATAATTAATTAATGGACTCAGGTTGTTCTAGATGGATATTCAGCACCACTAACGCCTAGGTATATCGCAAAACTGGTAAGGTAGTTGAACCTTGCCTTCGCCTCATTATGCTTTCTGTAAATGAATTATGTCATCTTGATTTTCCATCCTTTATCCTATACGTTCTATTTTTGTCCTTGTTATAATTAAACGGTGCATCATAATAATGAATATAGAGGAAATTTACAATTGCAGTTGATCTAACTAAACAATGAATAAAATGCTTTGACTCATTAACTACACAAGACCAATTTTTCAAAGAATACAAATTGCTCAAAAACAGTGAAAGAAAATGAAATTTGTTGGCGCGTCATTTCATTTCCTCCTTTACCTTCTCCAAAAACTTACATGTAATTATAACTAGGTAAGTAATCAAATTCTCAGAACAAAGCTTTGTTATTGACTTGGATCTTTTTGTTGAAAATTAATCAATGGATTTCTTCTAATGCGTTGAAATTTTCCATGGAATTCTGATAGTCCTGCTAATACCATGGTTGAAAAAAATGATGTTTTTTGAAATTTTATTGTTCTATTCCTTGAATGGAAAGCTTAGAATTATTGGATTATACATTCTCTTTTGATAGAATAGGCAGAGCTATTTGACAAATTTTCAGGTGATTGATGGAGCATATGACGGGACAAGACTCAGTTGCACTGAACAAGCCATCTGATGTACAACGGTCTTGAAAAGGACAACGGTTATAGTGTTCCTTTGGAAATAAAGCCATCTGGGCAATTTGAACCCTTGTACAAAACAACCTTAAGTGTGCAGGTGCATCATCTATTGTAGCTAGAATTTGATTAATATCTTTTCGACATTAACTATTCTCAGTCTATTATTTTTGCTTGAAAGGATGGGGAACTGCCTGTTCTTCCACTATCAATTTATGGAGTCGTTGCTATGGCACATAGTGAAGTCTCTGAGGAGTACTCAGTGCCATATCGGTTTTTCTTCTATCTATATGATAAAAGAAATGTGAGTAATTGCAGCTCTTTGTTAAAAATTTAAAATCAGTATTAGAACCCAACTCTTTTTTTTATTTTTTATTTTTACTACAAAATGAAGATGGTGAATAGAACCCTAATTTTATTAATTGTATCATACACGCTGTCTTATCATTATTACGACTTATATTGTTATTTACTTCTTCGGTAGGCTGGTTTAGGGGGGCTCTCTTTCGATGAAGGGCAATTTTTAGTTTTTGGGTAACATCTTTAATATGTTTATATAAAATGCCGCCAGTTTTTATTTCAATTTTTTGGTATTGAAGAATATTTATGCTTGTCTTGTGTCCTATTTTGATACACAGATACACGACAGTGGGGAAAGACATTCTGTCACAGATAAAAACAAGGGATGTGATTCAATCTGTAAAGCTGATTCAAGGTCAAGATTGTCTCGTTTTGTCAAATGAGAGCTGATATGTTCTCTTACAAAATTAAGTTTCATCTTCCATTCCATTTTTGTTTACTTATTTGATTTTTTTTTTTTTTTTAATTTGTATTGATTTTCTTGGTGCAAGCTGTGTTGTTAGATTAAATGTTGTTTGTATCCGTTGACCATCTTTTGCTATTGCATTCTGACTCCATACACTTTCAATGGTAAAACCTTCACATATTTGTTTCTTCATAGTACAGTAAATTAAGGAAAACACGCACACTTGTTTCTTCATAGTACAACGAACTAAACTAAGGAAAACACATTGATAATCAAACTTTACATTACAAAAGATGGTAATAAATATAGAAGAAAAAGACTTTGCCCAAGGAATAACTAGCCAGCTAGCCCTGCCTAGGAAAATTTAAATAAGAAAAATAAAATAAGCATTAGATGATGAAGAACAAAAAAATAAAAAATAAATAAGAGATACAAAGTGAAAGTGAAAGAAAACCTACTTTTTAAGTGTTCGTGACACTGTCTAGAATAATGGCCACAATTTCTCAGTGAATTACAAATAGCTACAATAAACATTAATTCACTAAGTAAACCAAAGTTGCTCAAAAATAATCATGCAGAAATTCTTATACTTCTAAAGACTTTTTATAAATTGCTCTTAATTGTTCTTTGTTTATTGATGAACTGTAAAAATGTTAAGACGAAGTTGTTATTAAGCAACTTAATTCATTGAAAACTTATTATCTTAATGTAAATTTTATAAATTCAATGAAGAAGGCATGAATAAGCAAAGTCCTAAAAAAAACCCATTTAAATCATTGTTATAAAGAGAGAAAATTAAAACTTAATTTTAACTGACCTTGTAATCAACTTATTTTAACTTGACTACTGAAGGAAGCGTTCAAGGACATTCTTCGTGTTGGGATGGTCCCATTCCAGTGAATTCCAGCATTCTTTTGGACGAACTGTGAGACTTTCAAGGGAGGCGGGAGGAAATAGCTGCACATTGTCAGGTTACGGAAACAAGGGAGAGATCGTCTTCAGCTTTGGACATCCCTCTATATAAATGCTTCTAAGGGAATCACAATGGATTGCGTAACAACTCTTACAGAAGCTCCTTAATTCCGGTAGAAATCGCAAAACGATAGATCTTAAATTTGGAAGAGAGAGTTTGATAGAATTCTTACTTGCTTCCTTATCTTCTTCTTCTTTATCACTTGATGCTTCTACTATTTCCACAAGTCCTGAGCATTTCCAAACTCTAATTTCTTCTAAGTTTTGTAGGTTTCGCAGCAACTTCGGGGGGAACAATCTCTTCAATTTTGGACAACTCCATATTCTAATAGTTTTAAGACAAGAGAAGATTCCAGGTGTTATTGGTGTTGGTAATGTGGATTTAGCTCCGTCTATTTCTTCTCCAAGAATTGCAATTAAATTATCCAAATACTGAAGAACCAGATCCTCAAGGGTCTGAAGTGCACTAGTGTAAGAGGACAAATAATAGAAGCACTCTATCTGTTTGCATGAATAAATCCAGCAGGTCCTCCAGTCAGTTGCATCTTTTAAAGAAGAAATATGGCTTACCCTTCTCAAATCATCACAGTGTTGAATGACTAGCCTCTGAATGTCAGTCGGTATCTTAATGGAGTCTCCAAAGTTTGTCAATCCACCAATTCCCACCGCTTTTCCCCTTCTTCCTCCTAGAAAAGAATAGTCCAATCCTACAGCATTAAAAGAATAGTAATTGAGGCATCTTTGTTCTTTTAGAGAAAAGTAGATGTGGTATTCTTGCAGATTTCTGAAACGAATACCCAAGTATTCCAACTTGTCAATCTTGAAACTTCTTCTGCCTCTGCAACTGCATTATCTAACCTTAAGTATTGAAGACGGAAGAGTTTTGGTAATATTCCACCAGGCATCTCTCTTATATCGTATGCATAAAGATCAAGATATCTGAGATGTACCAACATCTCTAGTCCATCAGAAATGGCTGTAATACGCGTGTAACCAAGATCCAACTTCTTCAGAACCCCAAGTTTTGCCAAAGAAGGCACATGTTCTAGATTACCACAACCGTTAAGCAACAATGCAGTGAGTTTTACCAAGCCAGAAATAGAATTGGGCAGATTTCTAATACTATAACAATGAGAAAGATCAAGAACCTTAAGCTCAGTCATGAGCGTAAAGACAGAGTCATCAATCTCTCTTAAAGATGAATTATATTGCAAAAGCAAGGTCGAGAGTGCTGTGAACTTAGGAAGTGTCATATCTAAGCGAAATTTTGAAATGTCGTTGCGCATTAAGGAAACCTTCTGAAGATCGTCAGTCCATTCATGCTCAGTTGGTAGCTCTGTCAATTGATTCCAAGCTTTTACCAGATATCGAGGACTCTGACTAGTAATGTACAATGCCATGTCTCTCACCAGATCATGCATCTTCACACAATTCCCATGATCCGCGCTTTCTAATAAACAATTTTCTTCTAGTCTCTTCAAATTAGCATGGCCTTTGTTATACATAGCTTCTCTCACTACAAGAAAAATGACATTCTGCGTCTAACAAAATTAGACGCAGAAAGTCACATTTAGACGCTAAGCCATTTTTAGCGTCTAAATTCGGTTGTCGCCCCCTTAGTTGCAGTAGGCTGGTCGTAGATTCATAGCGCGTCTATATTGTGGTTTAGACGCAAAAAGTTTTTTTTTGGCGACTATCAAAATAGTCGGCAAATGTTGTTCAAAATAGTCCCCCCACTTAGACGCTAAAAGTTGAAGGGTAATTGTGTAAAATTTTATAGTGACTAATCAATTAGTTGCAAAATGTTAGTTTTAGTGTCTAATAATTTGTCGCGAATCCCACACAAATTAGACGCCAAAGGTGTAAGGGTAATTTCGTCAAAGGCTTTCGCAACTATTTTATTAGTCGACGAATGTATCTTTTTGTGACTAAACTTTAGTGGCTAATTGTAACTCTTTTAGATGCTGAATGTAGAATCCAAACGGTTTTCGCGACTATTATATTAGTGGCCGAATGTAGCTTTTGGTGACTAAAATTAGTTGTTAATATAGTCATTTTAGATGCTAAATGTGGAATCTAATAGGTTTTTCGGGACTATTTATTAGTGGCCGAATTATCTTTGGTGACTAAAATTTAGTAGTTAATTATAGTCATTTTAGACGCTGATGTGAAATCCAATAAGTTTTTGTGACTATTTTATTAGGGCCGAATGTATGTTTTAGTTACTAAATTTAGTGGTTAATTGTTATCATTTTAGACGCTGAATGTGAAATCCAATAAGTTTTGTGACTATTTTATTGTGGCGCATGTATCTTTTAGTGACAAAATTTAGTGGTTAATTGTTATCATTTTAGACGCTGAATGTGAAATCCAAATGTTATCGCGACTATTTTTAGACGCTGAATATGAACAATTATACTAAATTACTTTTTGCTACTAAAACATTAGTTGCAGAATATGTTTTTTTTGAGCATTTCATATTGACATCCAACGGAATGCAATTATGCTAAATGACTTTTTGCTACTAAAAAATTAGTTGCAGAATGTGTTTTTTTTTTCAGCATTTCGTATTGACCTACATTATACATTCAACATGAAAAATAATAGCACAATATATAAATCTGATCACTAAATCAAAATCATATTTTCATACATATATATATAGTCCATACATGGATTTTTATGCATGATGAGCAATAAAAATCCAAAATGCACTATACATGTGAAACCCAAAATAACAGCATGCACCCATATTTTCCTTTCTCTATCTATCTATCTGTGATAACTAACAAAAAAATGTCCCACCATGTACACCATCTAACACAATATGCAAACAATCCTAAAAAGATGTTCTACCCCCATGTCAAAATATCTTTTGTCCATACAAAACAAAAAAAAAACCTTCAATACCGTTAGCATGTCAGTGTCACCACTTCCGGTATTTGAATAGCTGTAGCTGATGAGGACGAGTATCATCAATTCGAGAAGGCAAGTGTTGTCGAGTTGGAGCTTTATCAGATTTCTCTAGCTCAAGGGCTATAGTTAGCTGCTTCATATCTCTAACATGATGAATTGTTGGTGTTCAAGGCTTTTTATTTTCTCTTTTTGTTGATCAAATAAGATTAGCTGGTCCTCCAACTGTTTAATCTTATTTTCTTGTTGTTGCACAATGCACCTTAACTCAGCTTCTGCTGCAGTGGATTGATGCTTAATCTGTGAAAATGCAAAATTCTTGTTAAATCCGAAAGCTTTACCCAAAACTTCCTCACATATCTAGCTTCTATTTTTCACTTTCCCCTGCTTGTGTTTCCTCTTGCAGCTCTATCATTTTTTCCTACCATCAATTGAATGCATAATCAATAAGTCAACCAACAAACAAAATAGCAACATAAAAGATACTACAGCAGCAAAGAAAAATAAGTCTGATGGAGTAGAGAAGCAAGTATCTCAAACATTATCAATCTAATACTAAAGGAAATTTTGACATAAAGTTTTTCTTATACACATAAAGCAAGATTTACTTGTATATTGGAATTCAAATTCGTTTTATTTTGTCAACAAAGATGCATGAGTAGTTGATAGTCACACTAAAAATATAGATTATTTTAATTAAATTATCCATTTAGGTTTTGGTTTCTGTGTATTATATATATATATATATATGCCACCATTTTAAGCACATTACCCATTTTAATTCAATTCAATTGCTTTGGTTTTGGTTTCTATGTATATATATATATATATATATGCCACCATTTTAAGCACATTACCATTTGTTGTTACCCAATTTTTCATGCTATAATTATTCTCTATTCCTTTTTCCAAATGTCTGTACTATGAGCTTCATAGTGAAGTAACGGACTCTGCAACAAAAGAGTAAAAATTGGATAGGAGGGGTAAGTGCATGGCTAGCCACACGCGTTGGTGTAAGTACAGGGCTTATATAAGACAAATTGCAGCCTTAGATTCGCTTACACGTGTTTAGGCTCTACCTGAGGTTGTTTTAATTTGGCAAGCGTTTCTTATAAGGGTTTGGTAACAAAATGACATATGCAGCCAATTAAACTACCACTTATTCGAACTAACTTCTTAGTTCTTTCCTCTCAATAAACTTATGGGTTATCTTCTTCCCTATGAACAGATTATCAAATATAATAAAAAGTTTTAATTCAATTGGTGCTTTTCATTCTCTTTCCTTGTGGACAACTATTGTTATAAATTGCATTGAGAGCTTCTAACTTTAGGTCTCTGAAATGTTTTAATTTCTTGTTAATTATGATCATTAATAAATAATCTATAATTTTTAGTGTGACTATCAACTACTCATGCATCTTTGTTGACAAAATAAAACGAATTTGAATTCCAATATAACAATAAAGAGATATCATGGATTCTTCATATCAAAGTTCTGATTCAAAATGCATAGCCTAACAACACATTATAATTATAATACTGTAAATTCTATGTATGTACAACTGCCAACATGCAGCATTGAGATGAGAAACAAAGAGATTGATATCTCTGTAGGATATGTTTTAGCTGTAGCATGTAAATTGAGAGACAACTTCATCAATTCATTGTCTGTAAAGGATATTAGATTTTGGAGGCATCTCATTTTATTGTTGCAGAATGATCTTAAAATTACTTCATAATTTATCTTTTTAATTTTTTGCAGTTACTTCATAAAACTCCCCATGTATCTAGTTTCTCGGGACTGTAGTGAACACAGAAAATCATACTAAAAGTGGATACAAGTTTTTCTCCTAACCATGATACAAGTTTTTCCTACTAGCCAACCACAGCAAAGTTATAAAAGTTTGGTAACACTCAGAAAACTAAATGCCAAAATCAAAAAATGCATAAGCAGCAACATAATTACAGGTGATCAAAAGATGACAGAGAAATGCAATGAGACTCAAATAAAAACAAATCCAGCATGGCAATATGGACAGTTACGAAAAATGATCAACTTACATATAGCTCTCTTGCTTGTTCATTAATCCACCCTTTCTCCGCGCTCCAACGAGTGTCATGAAACAATTGTATAGGACCGACAGCTTCCCCAACTTGTTGCGCCTTAACAATTATATCGTCATTGACCATAAATTGAAATAAATTTAGTAAACAGGACAACAATGTTGTATATTTGTATAGGTGAATCATATTAAATACCTTCTCTTGTGCTGGATAAAGTTCTTGGAACCACCGCGGTGGTTACACCTCATCTTCGACCGGTTCTCTGAGTAAGTTCTTGACCGTGCCTAACACCACAAAATAAGGAATTAAAATACAATACATATATAACAGCATTAAAAGCCATGTTGACCTTACCTGAAACTTTTCACTCGAAAAAAGGTCACAAGATATATCCAATCATCAGGATCTTTAATTTCTTCTGGTCTATTCTGTAATGCTTCTCCCTGTAGCATATGCTTTGAATTTCTTGTGTAGGCACTCCGGAAGCTGTTGAATCTCTTACACAATTTGTGCTTCAGCCATTTCAGTACATGGGGCTCCGTGACATCAATGTCAAACTTGGTCTAAATCATCAATAATGTACATGCATTAAACTATATGGGTAATATATATTATTTTCGTAAGGAAGTATGACAATATGGATAATGATATTAAACTACATTACCGTGATCCGAGCAATCATTTGTTTTTCGACATTGTAGAACTTTCTTCAAGTAAGCACTCTTACGGGGGCATAGTTCCTTGCAACTATTCTACCTCAGTACTCAACTTTGATGCATTTACTCCAGTAGGTACTCCATCTTCTTTCTGAAATCTACATGCAACTTGACTGCGCTGTTTGTAGGAGTCTTTCACATCCAACTCCTCTAGTCTTCCCTCTCACATTCTCGCCACTATATTCTCTACAAAATCAAAATAATGCATCAACAGTTAATACTATGTTATCACAAGGACGGTTTACATGTTGGTAAAGTAAATGTATTCTTAAATTTTAAACAAACAATTGTACTCGATATCTAAAATCCAAGTATATATTTCAGTATGTTATATGGACCATATCATAACTTTACCAGTGATTGTAGCAATTTCAGGTCGGTACAAGACTATGATTCTCTTGAACAACATTTGCACGCTACCTCGGTCCTTCTTCTACCAGGAGCCATCTTCGGAATCTGCAAACATCAACATAAGAGAAACTGTACCAGGTAAGATAATGTAAATGGGTATAACGATCAATAAATTAATTAATTATCAATTAACGTAACTTATACCTTTGTTTTATGGTTTTAGTAGCAGTGGTGCCCGCACTCTTCTTAGCCTCGGTCTTCAAGTCAACTTTAAGATTCTTAATACCTTTTACAACAAATAATTGGGTTATAATTTTATAATTTATCAAGAATAGTCATTTTCCTTATATGAAAATAAATACCACACTCTAAATTAAATGAATCAGCAAGCAAAGGCTAAAATTAAAGTCAAGGAACCTGACCTGCAAATTATGCTTAATTTAAAATAATCACCATTGAAGGGAGAACTAAATTAGAATATTTGAATTCGCTTAAAAAATTTATAAATATTCTAATTTAAAACACATAAAATAAATTACAAATTAGTTTATTTATTTATTTATAATTAACAATCACTCTTTTTTCATTGTTATTTCAGCCTTAAATAATTGTGTTGTCGTGGCCTTATCTAGTTAGATTAAGGGTAAAACAATAAATAAACTAAGAGTAACAAAGACAGAGGCAGGTTCCATCACATTCAAGTTCTGATAGAACCTGACCTGCAAATTACTCAACACAACAAGAATCTGTCCAACAATCCACAATCAAATCCGAACCAGAATGAAGTAATTCTCTAAGCAGCTATCACAGAACATTACATCCAGAAATAGCATGTCCAGACCATGTTCAGTTAGTCACCACAAAACAAACTCACAGCATAATAAGACTAAGTACAAATAAGAAAATACAGTAACCATAAACATCTATAAAAGAGAACCATTAATCCGAAATTCCCATGGGAAATGAGAATATCGTTTAATATTGGAAAACGAAGCAAATGTACACAACTAATCACAATAATTCATATCCTACAAGTTATTAATGATTTTATAAATACACATTGATTTTATGTGCAATTGGTGCAGACTGCAAGTTGAATAACTGTTTCCAACCGCACTCTTGATATGAAATCAACTATATCATAATTGCAGGTAATTGCAATTTCATTGAGCACACATGAAGAAGAGGAGAACCAAGCAGCTGGGTTCTGATTAGGTTATACAAGAATGACAACAACAATTAATGAAAGTAGGATTAATTTCATATACAATTACAATGCACATTTGACTAAGTCAGATTACTTTAGTCAGGAATGAACAAGCATTAACCTCTTGGAGGAGCAAACCCTCTGATTTGATGGATAAAAAAAATAGCATATACAAAACTGCCCTTCATTTGCAATTTAGTATAACTTACAGGATGCTCGGTTCATTTTCAAGGCAAATTACAGTATTTGGTAAATCATCAACCTCAGAGCATACTAAATATATATATATAGAATGGATGTATGACAATTTAGACTTCAAATCAAGAAGTTTATTGTGGCATATTCTTCAGAAACCCGAATAGAAGCTACTGTCGTTGGTTTAGTCTATTGTACAACCATAATAGCTTATTATCTTCATAATGATCAACAGCAGCACCAATGTATTTTTAATAGAATATTATAAGCAAACACTAGAATGATCACAAGAAAAGAAAGCATGGCACAAATGCTTTAGATGTAAAATAAATTGGGGATATTATTATAGAAAAAGTAAAAAGCTACAAAAGGGAGTTTGTATTTTGCGCACAGAATGTACAAAGATTTAGAAACCAGTAGAGCTGAAATCAAATAACAGTTTCCTACACAATACATACAAGTCTGACGTGGTGCATCAATCCATCAAATGAGCAGCAACTGAAACTCTTCTATTGGGGTAATCGCCAGGGATTTGCGTGGAGAAGAAATTCGAAATTTGGGGAAACAGGGAGGGATTTGCGTGGAGAAGAGAAGAGGTAGGTCAGGTTATGAGATTGGGAATTTGGGGAAATAGGGTAGGGATTTGCGGGTATGCGTGGAGAAGATTGGATTTGCGGAATTTGGGGAAAGGTTTAATTTGGGGAAATAGGGTAGGGATTTGCGGGTATGCGTGGAGAAGATTGGGAATTTGGGGAATTGGGGAAGGTTTAATTTGGGGAAATAGGGTAGGGATTTGCGGGCATGCGTGGAGAAGATTGGAATTTGGGAATTTGGGAAAGGTTTGCTTTATATAGGTTAGGGTTTTTTTGTAAATAACTTGAAAAGAATGACTAGTAATTAGTTGTTTAATTTTTAAAATAATATATATTTTGCAAACAAATCAATTTGTAACTAAATTTTTAGTCAACAAAAATTAGTATAGTTGCAAGTCTGGCGGGAACAAATATTTGGGGGGAAGATGAATTTTTCAACTAAATTGGCAACTAAACCGAACTTAGTTGCTGTATATATTTTTTGCAACTAACACAAACATTTGTCGTTAAAAATGCCTCAGGGCCCTTGTAATTATTGTCCAAATATGGGATATTTTGGTAATTTAATTTTTCTGTAACTAATCATAATAGTTACTAATACATTCTCAATTAATAGCAACTAATTTAGCAACTAGGATAGTTGCCAAAAAGGTTTTTTTGTAACCATAATGTAGATGCAAAATAAAATATTTTAGATGCAAATTGTCAAATTATGGAGGGAAAAATGGTCAACCAAAAATTGTAACTAATTTATTAGTCACTAAGCAACTTGTTCTGCAACTAACAAAATAGTCGCAGAACATTACTTTAGAGGCCAAAAGTTGGAACATGTGGACCCCAAAATTGAGTTGCTCTTTGTCCGACTAATGGTAATTCAGTTGGTAAATGTAGCCTTTTTGCAACTAATTCTGGTTAGTTGCTAAAAAATGGTTGCAGAATGTCATTTTTCTTGTAGTGTCTACTCTCCAATCATCGATAAATCCTTCAAAATCCAATATTCTATCAACTCCTCCTTCTCAATTGCAAAATCTTCAGGATATAAAGCCAAATAGAAGCAATTTTGATTTTTGGATCTCTCAAACGATCGTAACTAAATTTCAAACGTTCAAGTACCTTATCTACCATATCCTCAACACTTCCTATACGTGCTTTCAATTCATTTAATGCACTCTCCCATATAGAACATCCGCTCTCCTTTCATGCGGTGCCAGCGTAAAATTGCTAGAGGCAAACCACCATTGCCTCACAATTAGTTTCAAAATTGATTTAAAGTGGGAATATCCAAAGCTCAGATCCAACTTTGCTCAAGAATAAATCGAATCCTCCTTTCCGAAAGTGGCTCAACTTTGATTTCCTCCACAACCCATGGATCGAACCACCTCTATGGAACGGTTGTTAAACTAATTTGCATCCATCATTACAGTTGCTCCGGGATTCCAACTTCCTCTAGAGAAATTTCCTTCCACACATCATCTAAAATTAGCACATATATCTTTTTCCCTTTCAACATCTCTTGTAACACTGCAGCCCGCATGGTGATATCATTATGTTTCAACAAATCTTCCCCCAGTGCAGTTGCAATGTCTTGTTGCAATTTAACAACAGCATACTCCTTGGATACGGTTGCCCAAATTACTTTATCAAACTTATTTCTTTCTTTTAAGAGCTGATTATGAATGTGTTTCATGATGGTTGTTTTACCAACCCCTCCCATTCCACAAACACCTATCTTGCATACCTTATCACCAATCAAGAGTTTCAAAATTTTTTCCTTTACACTAGCTTCAACTACCATTTTTGATGCTGGTAATTGCAATCCAGTGTCATCAGGAGCATCAATTACCAAACCAGCTGGAAAAATACCTTGATCATAAACTCTTTTCACTTCTTGAATCTTTTCATCAAGAAGTTTTCCTCGCCAACCACGCAAAAAATAGTCGCCTTTTCTGAATTTATCTTCAATTCTCTTTGTCTCCTCGAAGATCTTTTCTGCTTTTCTCAACCAACTTTCCACTTCTTTGTTTGTTACTTTATGATAACGAAGTTCCCCATTCAATCTTTATTGTATAGTTTCCATGCGGGTACTAAGATCCCGTTTCTCTCTTTCCAGAGAACTCAAGAATTCATTAAACTTTCTATGGTCCTTCCAGTATCTACAACCGGGAGGAGCTATCCACTTTATAACTTCAATAATTGTCACAGGATCCATTGACAATTCCCCTGCATTGTATTATATAAATGGTGATAAGGATTTATGTTTAGTAGCAGACCAAAAAAGTTTTAATTATCATATCATTTATAAGCTATAATTTTTATCTTCTTTATATATCCAATCTAAATGAAGTCTTAGGACAATCAAAATGAACAAAGAAATTAAAAAAAGAAATTGACCAGACAATGACTTAGGCAATTTTGTAGATGAATTTACAAATCTATAGGTAAAAAATAATAATAAAAGAAATAAGCTCCAACAATGACAAAATTTTAGAACATTACTTTCCAAAATCTTATTTTATAAAACAAAATCAAACAATGAATTCTGTTTTCAAGCTTCAAGTACTGGTGATTTGTCATGTTTACTAGACTAGTTAAACCTTTATCCTCTCATAATGCTGTTTGTCATGTTTAGGGCCAAAACCAATAATTTATTTTTGAGAGAATAATTCTTATACTCGAATTTTGAATGCAAGTTTAATAGTACGAAAATAGTTTGTTAATTAAATAAGAATAATACAAATAATGGTTGTCTAATGATATATGAGACAGAACAAGATCAACAACCCCTTAAAATAATAATCCATATATTATTAGACAACCATTATTTGTATCATTCTTGTTTAATTAACTAGTTGGAGCTCCTTATGCTTTGTTTTTGTTCTTCTGAAATTTGTTTGTTTTCAATGTATTATCAACTACTTTTAAGTTGTAATTTTGGTCTGATTGAACATAATAATTTCAATGTATGTTTATATTACATTTTTATTATTATTATTATTATTTTAATGTAGACTAAATAACATATTGGCATTCAAGAATGCATAGAAATGATGACTTGAACTGTTTTTTTTTTTTTTTCCTCAATTTTCTGGTATTTTATTTTTAAGGTTTATGTTATATTTCCAAGTTTGTTTACACAAAAAATCATATAGTGACGTAGTGAGTAGTGTGGACTAATTCTTCCATATTTAAAACCTGAAAATATTTTTCAGATCAATTTTTTACTTTTAATAATTGTTGAGATGTTACTAAATACATCACTTTTATTTCATTTATCTCTATGAAACAATCTCAGTGATTAAATGGCATAAATCATAATTATGAATATTTAAAAAATGAAAGCTGAAATAAGTTAGAAAGGGGCATTACTTTGGTAGTGCTGCTATATGAAACTTTTGAAGATTGGTTGGGTGTATTTTATTAAATAAACATTTGTATGTAAGATATAAGTTAATTGTTGGTTGAGTGTTTGTATTTGTGTATTTGTTTTCTATATGCTTGCTAGTCTTAAATTTATGAGAAATTGAGTACCTTGTGAACTTTTGTGGTGAATTTAATTGAATTTGGAGTATTTGATTATAGGGGTGTAACTATAAAATATTAAAACTGCAAAAATTGTGGGGGTGTACCTACCCGCATAGGGTAAGGTGTGGGTCCAATATTTTGGACCCGTTTACATCGACCCCTTGGAGCCATACCCGTTTGGGTCTGACACATACCCAGTCCACTTGGCCGTTTTGCTAGGTCTAGTACTAACTCAACAACGAACACCTAAAACTCCACCAATTATAAATAATAATCTTCTTATCATTATCATTCAAAAAACCATTCGGAATAATAATAACAACATCTATAAGAACAAACACAAACTTTATTCACTGTGCAAACTTCCCAAACAGGAAGAATTCACATGAGGGAAGACAGTGTTCGCAAATGAAAGCATTTAAAAAAAAACCCAATCATACATTATGGGCTACATTACTTATAGATCAGCCCACTAGAGAATAAGACCCAAAAACCATATCAACATAATTTTGAGCCTAATCAATCATAAGTCAGTCCACTTAAACATTAAACCCCCTTAATTCAGTTAGCCCATCAATATAATTAAATCCACCAATTTAATTAAGCCCACCAATTAATAAATAAAACCTAATAACCCAACAATCAACTGGCCCTCAATAAAACAGCTGGCCCTTTTAAACAATAAAACTCAACAGCCCAACTATTTCAATTAACCAAACACCATTAAGTCCGATTATTTCAATTAAATCCAAACACCATTGGACCTAATTACTTCCATTGAACCCAAACACCAATTTAATTAAATCTCAAGTCTTATATCCTCCAATATCCATCAATTCATGGAGTTCATAAACATATTAAAATACATATACAATATATAAAAGAACTTTCTTTATTATAACAATTCCACCAACAAAGGGTGTCTAACTTGGGAATTTATAAACAAGCCAAACATTTGTCTCTCACCCATTCTTTCCAGTTCCATAAAGACAACCACAGCAGACAACGCCCAAAAATTTCACCCAACAAGCAACCTGTCCATTCTTTAATTAACCAATTCTTATTTCCCACTCAAAACAGAATGGGTGTTTGATAGATTACCTGAAAAATGTTATTCCGAAAAAGTATTTTAAGTTGAATTGAGTTGGATTAAATCGATTTGGATCATATTATGAAAATGATAAAATATTTGAAAAGTATATCAATGTTTGATAAAATACTAAATAGTTGTTTGATATATATTTTTAAAATAAAATAGTTGTTTGATACATTTTTTGAAAATATTTAAGATTATTTTTTTAACCCCTACATTTTTTAATTTAGCGAAATAATCCCACAATCAAAATTTAAAAATTAACTAAAGCATCCCAACCACCCAAGAAGACAGCCAGCCATTATCACCGGACGATAGTCGACTGTCGTCGAAATGATGCACGACCGGTTGGATTTGACCGATCGTGCACCGATATAGTCATTTCTGACCAGATCTATGGTTAGAGATATTTTCGACCAGATCTCAGCTAGAATCTAGTCATCAACAACCAAATCTCTGGCCGTAGATCTAGCCATTTTCGGCTAAGTCAATGATAGATCTGACCAAAAACGGCCAGATCGGTGCACAACTGGTCAGATCTGACTGGTCGTGTGCTGTTCCAACCACGTACATAAGAATTTAACAAGATATATAAATACTTATATATACATACCAATTTAACTCCATATATATAAGAAAGAGAACCAAAATAAACCCATCAAAACAAAGACAAATAACAAGCATTTTTTAGATAACAACTTTCCCCAAAGTAAAGCTCAACCCAGCCGAAACATGGAAAACGTCTCACTCAGAACACAAACCCCACACTTCTAAAGTCCAACCGAAGCATAAAGAAAAGACAATTTTAAACAACTTCACAATTTTCTCAAATTTCATCAGAACATTAAATTAAAAATCATAACTTAACATGCAAAATAGAGATTTAAGCTTTTAGGGGACAATTCAGTTTGATCCACTCACCTCGCTAAGTCTTCTTCTTTCTTTCTCCCACTCTTCCTCTCGGCCGAACTCCCTTCTTCTTTTCCTTCTCTTCTCTTCTCCTTTTACTTTCTTTTCTTTTCTCTCCCATTTTTCTTTCTCTTCTTGTTGTCCTTTTTCCTTCTTTTCTGTTCTCTTCCCTTTTTCTTTCTCTTCTTGTCCTCCACTTATTTTGAGCGAACACCGTTCATCAAAATATTTGGCAAATTTTCTCAGCCCCTCGTTTCATCTATTGCACTACACCCCCATAAAAGTTTCAATTTGTTATACTTTACCCCCAAAAATCAAAAACTAAAATTTGATAAAATTCCATAAAAATACAGAGTATTACAACGCGATCCAAATAAGGTCGTGACAGTTGGTATAAGAGCAAGAAAGAAGGCATCGACATTGTGGTGTTCCCTTCTAAACGACCTTGGCCAAAGATGTCTCTCGTAAGCTTGTGTAGAAAATGATGGGGTCCCTAAGACGCATGTTAAACACTGTGAGAGTGGAAAGTTGACATAGTGATGTATAACAAATGATACTGAGAGCAGGCAACTTGAGAAGTCGAAGAAGCATGTGCGAGACACATGCTGGGCGTGCAACATGTGGGCATTGACAATAGTGTAGCATGGAAGTGAGTAGTGGTATCGTGTGACATAGGCGGAAGCATGTATCTTCCGAGGTGTCGTAATGGGTTGACACGACACGGAGTCACGCCTAAAGGTAATTGGCGTCACTTAAGCCATCAAGTAGTGCCACAAACTGAAAACTTTGACGACTGTCTTGTGGGCATTTGCAAGAATAATATGCACGAGGACGTGCATACAAATGGGTGTAGGAGCTAGAGTGTCACGATCTTATTTCGCAACGTCGTGACAAAAGCGGCAAGGTGGAGATTATTGGGATAAGTGGCTCATTTTCCTAATTGTTTCCTTGTAAAATTGTTATTTCATTGGGAAGTTAATTTAATAAGGAATACAATTGTTATAAGAATGTGAATCATATTAGGAATGTAATTAGGAGAGTCCTATTAGAAATTGAAATATGAATTCTATTAGAAATAGAATATCACATATACTACTTATAAATATAAGAATGAGAATCAATTCAAGGTTACGAGAGGATGTGAGTACACAGGGTATTAGATATTATAGTGTTATGTACTCTTGTATCTCTTGTTCATGAAAATATAGTGAATTTTTCTCATCATGGATGTAGGCAAGTTATGTCGAACCACATTAAATATTGTGTTCTTTGTGTGTGTGTGTTTTCAAGCTTACTTAGAGCCAATCACTATAGTTTAAGCTCTAAGGTTGCGCAATCCCAATAAGGTCGTAACAATTGGTATCAGAGCAGAAAAGAAGACGTCAACTCTACGGTGTTCCCTTCTAAAGGTAACCCATTGAAAGTGCATTGGAAAGGTCTCGAGCTTATAAAGGGCCACATTAGAAGCGTATTAGGGAGATGTTGGACTTATAAATGGGAGACTTCCTCTATCTAATAGGATAGCCTAATATATATAACTTAATTTGAGACACTAATTTATAGTCATTGATAAATCACAATCCAACTATTGAAAATGTAATAAAATGGCACATAAAATAGCTATTTGTAACTTTTCATTGAACAATCGTAAAATTATTTCAAATCAAAGACTAAAAATTACATTCGGTTCATGAACCGAAGACCTATCTCCATACACACACACACACATACGTCCGCGCACATAAGCACACGCGCACGCATACACACACGCGTCCGTACACACAAGCACAAGCACACGCACACACACACATACAGACGCACATATGCACATGCACTCATGCACGCACACGCACGCATGCATATGCATGCACGCACCCATATGCACGCACGCACGTACACATATGCGTACACACACATGCGCGCACACACATAGATGAACCGAATACGAGATTGTATTGGTGAGGTTGAATCTTTAGTAGTGATATTGGGTGGTCATGTTGCCATCGAGGCTGTAATGCGTACCATTTTTCCAAATGCACATCATGACTCCTATTGTCATCAACTGAAGATGAACATAAAAGTTAGGTACAGAAAAGTCAAGGTCATTGAGGGATTGTATTGGAAAACGGCTAAGGCGTATCTAATGTTTGATTTTTGAGCACACATGGCTGCTATTTATGCAATGAACCTTGGTGTCGGTGCATACTTATAGGGTATGGGATATTAGAGATAGGCAAGGTCTCATTTTAATGGACTTCAATATACCATAATGATAACAAATATAGGTGAGTCCTTCAACGTGTTGGTATGACATGCTCATGGTTTGTCGATCACTATGCTCACTGAATTCATTTGGAGGATACTACAGAGATGGTTTTATGAGAAACGAAACATGACATATAAGTATAAAATGTTTATTAAACTACTAATTCCTAGTTCTCGATACATACTATACTGACCATTATTTTGTTTTCACTTATTACAGTTGAATGGGATAAACATCTAACTCCCCAGACTACAAATATGGTTGCCAACCATGTAAGGAAATCGGTGAACATGATCGTCCACCCGATTAGTAATCATCTATACTAGGTCCAGGGTGGGAATAAAAACCACGGGATGGTCAATCTGTAGGAACAAACGTGTACATGTAGGAAGTTCCAGTTGTAGCAGATACCGTGTGCACACATAGCTGTAATTGCAAGGTTTCTATGCCTTTTGGATTTCTACCAACCGGTTAATCGGTATTACACAACTGAGACTGGATATACTTAGTAATCTTTTGTGTCTTCCGATTGACGACCTGCTCATACCGGCTTGGGATCGCATTTTTCATAGAGTCAAACGTTATTTTCCAAACGTCAATCCCCTAAGGTTATTTGTTAAACAATGAAAGGTAGTGGACTAACTACATAACCTCTGTCTTAATGATCATCCTATTCTCTGCGTCTAATAAATCGACATGTAGACAAAACAATGCCGCCCTCTTCATTGCGTCCTTGTCAAGTTTGCATATAGACCTCGTATCCTTAAAAACTTTTGTAAGGATACTATACGCTACTAATTTCGGTTTTTAGGGGAATATAGACCTCGTATCCTGCGACCTACAGTCGATGGAAGATATTTGTTAATGTTTGTGAGTTGATTAAATCTCAGCCTAGTCACCAGTGCGAACTCGTATTGACTGAAGCGAATGTCCACACAGTTGATACATAACCAAAACTCTTCCTTAGGATCTCCCCTTGTAATCTCTCGTAAGAGTACTGAATGTGTAAGTACTCCACTGAATCTAAAGGCGTCCAGCTCTAAGTATGGCCCCAAACAAGTGTTTTTGAACATGGCTTTTTGCTTCTTGTTCAGTGTCCGTCAAGTTTCTCTAAAGTGCTTGGATGCCGTATATACTTCCTTTATCACGATTAAAAACAACAAAATGCACAACATTAACACGATTAAAATAATGTTTAAATTATATTAAAAAAAAAAAACTAAAACCTTAAACCGTGACATTTAACATAAACTTTAAAAAGTTAACATAAACCTAACAGTGATACTAAATCGGCAAAAAAAGAGCCAAGAAACTAGCTTTTTTACCCATCTCAACCAATTTCCAATTGACCGTAAACCTGCAATCGTAATGTCGCCATTAATTTTGTTCTCACCACCAAAAATTTGCACAAAATTGTTGAAAGTCAATTCCCTAAAGTTAGTTCAACAAATCAGTTGTTGATTATTCTCCAATAATTGATTGAAAACTCAAAAGTGAAAATAGGCTCCAAAGAATTTTTTTTTGAAATGGTTGAAAATGATGGAAAACTTGGTTTATATATGGGGGCATTTTTATTTGGTGGCCATATGGGCATAGCGCTTAGGATTTTAGTTATATTTGTAGAGCCCCCAAGTTTTGGTTATTTTAATTAAAACCCTATAAATAATAGGAAACAAAGGTTTAATCTGCGAACATGGCAGTAATTTCACTCCCAAATAATACAAAGCTAATTAAAAGTTTCCAGATAAGCTTAAGTTTCTTCCTCGTAGATTAGACCCGCCAAAATCCTTTCCATCTTCAACGGCCAAACAACTTCCATTCGTTCATGGCCTTCTCTTTATCTTCTCCCACTCTCACTTTCTCCCACAACCTGTCTTTCACTTTCTCCACAGACACCAAATCGTAATATCCTCTCTGTCCGTTTCACGTTTCCTCTCAGCAGAAAACAATCTGCAAGATTTGGCCTCCTCAAGGTTCAATGCAAGTCTAAACAAGATGATACAACGGTTGGTCTTCTAATTTTACTTTAATTCTATGTTCTATTCATGATTATAGCTTGTGGGGTTGGTTCTTTTAGTGTGTTTTAGCTTTCACTGGCGCATATTTTTGATGTATTGAAAAATGTGGGCTGCTCATGCTAGTTAGACTGCATTTATTTGCACATTTTTATGAAATTGAGGTAAATTATTTGCTAGAGCAATGTAATGAAGGTAGATTTATAAGATTTTTTACTTGCACTTTTTAGTCAGGGTGGTGGCTGTCGTACCGATGGCAATATTATTACTTATTAGATTCGGCAAATCAATAATTTCTCTTCGCTTAGTGAAGCATAGTTTTTGACATATTTCTTGGATTGGGGGTGAATTCCTTGTAAATTTAAAGTTGTGTGGAAAAAATGTTGAATATATTTAAGGATATAAGGAAAAATTGACAGACATTTGGAAATGCCATATTGTTGTAAATAATTTTAGTTTATTATTCATTATTATTAAGTGTGGTGGGGTTCCGTCTGAAACCTGTGATGGCTCTTTTATGGTGGCTGTGCGCTTCGCTTACGTTTTCCTTTCCTGCTAGCTGCATTTTGCTGTCAAGATATAATTTGTGTTCTACCGGCATGGATCCTTTTGTTTGTCGTCTCTTCCATGACCTAAACCCAGGATATTAGTTTTGCTTTACAACCAGAATTTTATGAATGAAATTGCCTTGCCTTTCAGGATTAATAAAGTTGTACACTGCTCGGTGGTTTTCTTTTTTCAGTTCTCTGTTTCCGCCATAGCGATTAGACCTTTATAGTGTTGGACCAGAATAATTGAGGAAATTATATTCCTCTTGAGTTAATCACAGTATCTAAATTGCATTTATAGTTATGTAGGAGCTGGAGTATTGGCATAGTATCCCGACCAAATTGTGCATATCAGCTTTTGGAAATGGGATGAAGACAGCTAAGACTCTGATTGCCGCTATCTTCATTTTTGTCCAAATTTCATCTCCGTTGTGTATGATTGGCTGGGAACTTTGGTCTGTTTCTCCTGCAAAGGCAGTGCTTTATTCTCCTGACACCAAATTCCCGAGAACTGGAGAACTTGCTTTAAGAAGAGCAATCCCCGCAAACACGAACATGAAGGCAATACAGGTAGATATATAATAATTACATTGTGTTCTCATACTCTCTAACTTGAATATAAATCAATATCTACCTTTGTTTTTGTTTTAGGATTCTCTGGAGGACATATCATTTTTGCTAAGGATTCCTCAGAGAAAACCTTATGGAACCATGGAGGGTAATGTGAAGAAAGCTTTAAAGGTATTCATTTATTTTTCAAAGTAACTTATTAAAAATGAGAAGGAATTTCAAATAAAGGAGTGGTGATAATAGAGACTTCCTAGTCTAATGCAATTCAGAAGATTTTTGACCGAGGGATATTACCAATTTTTTGTGTTTCAATTTTAGTTCTGGAGTTTCTCCTTTCAGATTGTCCTGTAGATTCACCATTTTGTTGTTTTTGCTGCCAATTACTGTACCTCTTCTATTATTTCCTGCTAATGCGGATTGCTATTTGAATTAGAAAAGTTTTCTCCGTTGGTATTGTTTTCTTGGAAACCATACATAATTGGCAGTATTATCTTGTTAAATTCATTTACTTCTGAAACGTTAAACTCTTCTCTTCATTCATGCCATATTTTATTTTTCATGTTGTTCTCTTTATTTTAATACATTTCCGCTCTGTTCTTTTCTCCTTTTGTACGTCAGATATCATGATTCTGAATGGATAATTTTCATTCTTCTGAATTCAGATAGCAACAGATGAAAAGGACTCTATACTCGCTAGTATCCCAACGGATCTAAAGGAAAAGGGTTCTAAAATGTATGCATCTCTCATTAATGGGAAGGTATAAGACTTTAATTTGAAAGAAGAAATTGAAATTTACTTTAGAAGAGAAAAACAACCGGGTTCATATTAAATCTTCTTTTATTTGCTATGACTCATAAGTCATATACACTAACTACTGCTAGTGCTGGATTGACTGAGATAATATTATATTATACGAAGACCTTAGTTTGACCATACAAGCATTTTAGATTTCCTTTCTACTCGTTTTGATGTGCATTTTTTGGGGTCAAGTCTACCTGGTATCCCTTCCAGATATGCAGTTGGACTAATTCATAGGTGCACGACCTGAAATCAGCAACCTATCACTGAAGAATGAAAACTTTCTTATTTCTTCTTTATTCTAATGCATCTCATTACATGGCTTTAGTCTGCGTGGCAATAATGTCTTGAAAATCTAATATATGTCACCACAAAATCTTCATTTTACAGGGTCATTGCTGAACCCACTGGAATGATATTTCAGTTTTCTTTTTTCAATAGGGTGGTTTGCAAGCACTCCTAAAATGTATTAAGGATCAGGACCCAGATAAAGTACCTGTTGGCGTTGCGGCATCTCTGGATACTGTTGCAGAATTGGAGTTGCTACAGGCAAGTGCAGTTGTTCTGCTAATAGCATATGATATTTCCGATGCATGAACAGCATATATATTTGATAAATGAATTGTCATCATTTCTTAAAATTTTAACCACTTCATTGATAATATTTATCTGCGATAAATTTGCCTATAAATTCAATAATAGCAAGTAGAAATTTAATTAGGACTATGTGAGCATGTTAAATATCTCACTGAACATTGTTTACAACAGGCTCCTGGGTTGTCCTTTTTGTTGCCTGAGCAATACTTGAAATATCCAAGGTCAGTCATCTCCAAGAATGATTGGTTTATTTTTCAGTCTCTATTTCAATGTGCATTGCTATATGCATATTAAATTGACTATTTATTGTAACTATTTATTCTGATACTGGAACCATTTTAAATTACCATTCCTTTCAGTGCTAGAATTCTAATTTGTTTCTTTAACTGCTTTGTGATAAAAATTGACTTATTTGATTGAAACATGATGAACTTTGTTGTGAAAGATAAGTAGACTTTTTGTTTTTATCATCTGTCCTGAAATTTGAAATTGATGCTCTTTCATTTGTAGGCTTACAGGGCGAGGAATTGTTGAACTCACCATTGAGAAAGGAGATGGTTCATCATTTTCCCCAGAAGCTGGGGGTGAACAGAGGAAAACCGCCACAATCCAGGTATGCTAAATCGAGTTTGTTGAGTCCTATTAACTTCTTCTTTTCTGCTATGATTCTAGTGGCCGGTTGCGTGAATATGTTTTACAACACCAGAAACTGTTTCTCGCTCTGTTCCAGTCTCTCTCTCTCTCTCTCTCTCTCTCTCTCTCTCTCCCTCTCTCTCTCTTAAGCATGGACATATTTCAATTTCATCTATTGTCACACACTAACTCTATTGATTCCTTGTTGCTTCTGTTATGGGCTGTCGCTCAAATTCATTGTGGTTGCATGGTAATGGTTACCTACAGGGCCAATATCTTGATTACTGTTCTCTTTTCACACTTTGACTCTTTCTTCCACCATCAAGATCATCTCTTGAGTGGTGGCTAAACACAATCACTAGACCAATCTCTTATCACTCTAAATGGGCTGCACTTGTATGCAGTTATATGAATGTTATTATTCGATATAATATAAATTTTGGCTAAAAATCAATTAATGGATTCAGGTTGTTCTAGATGGATATTCAGCACGACTAACGGCTGGGAATATCGCAAAACTGGTAAGGTAGTTGAACCTCACCTTAGCCTCATTGTGCTCTCTGTATATGAATCACGTGATCTTGATTTTCCATCCTTTATCCTATACGTTCTATTTTTGTCTTTGTTATAATTAAACGGTGCATCATAATAATGAATATAGAGGAAATTTAACAATTGTAGTTGATCTGACTAAACAATGGACAAAACGCTTTGACTTGTTAACTAAGCAAGACCAACTTTTTAAGAATACAAATTGCTCAAAAACAGTGAAAAAAAAAAAAAAAAAATGAAATTTGTTGGCGCATCATTTCATTTCTTCCTTTACCTTCTCCAAAACTTACATGTAATTATAACTAGGTAAGTAATCAAATTCTTAGAACAAAGTGTTGTTATTGACTTGGATCTTTTTGTTGAGGATTAATCAATGGATTTCTTCTAATATGCTGAACTTTTCCATGGAATTCTGATAGTCCTGCTAATACCATGGTTAAAAAAGATGTTTTTTGAAATTTTATTGTTCTTTTCCTTGAATGGAGAGCTTAGAATTATTGGACCATACATTCTCTCCTGATAGAATAGACAAAGATTTTTGACAAATTTTCAAGTGATTGATGGAGCATATGATGGGACAAGACTCAATTGCACTGAACAAGCCATTCTGACGGATAGCGGTCTTGATAAGAATAGCGGTTATAGTGTTCCCTTGGAAATAAATCCATCTGGGCAATTTGAACCCTTGTACAAAACAACCTTAAGTGTGCAGGTGCATCATCTATTATAGCTAGAATTTGGTTAATATCTTCTTCTAGATTAGCTATTCTCAATCTATTATTTTTGCTTGAAAGGATGGGGAATTGCCGGTTCTTCCACTATCAGTTTATGGAGCTGTTGCTATGTGTTGATGCGTGATTTAGACACCAACTAATTGACACGTGCGCAGCGTTGATTGGGCTAGGAACACACGTGAATATGGATTGTGAATATGAAATAAATGCAATGAGAATTTTTAAAGTGGTTCAGATGCTAAGGTAGCAAATCCTACATCCACTGATTTGTATTAATATGGTGGGTCAGGTCGCTAAAGCGGACTGACTTACAGAAAAGTTATGAAAAGTAAATGTGTTTACAGGAGAGAGAGAGAGAGAGTTTCTCAATGTAAAAATGGCCGAATCCCCTTAATGAAGGGGTCTTCCTCTTCTTATACCAAGCTGAATGCGTGTAATCATCATTAAATCCTTGGGTTGGTGTGTGTGTCAGGATGTAATCTGGCTTTACGTCCCATTACCCATTTCCCAAGCCGATTTTACGCGATTTGGAGCAGGTTAGCGAACACGGGGAGCTCCAGGGCACTTGGCAGGCCTGACGTGCGCGTATCGTTCTGACGGGAGTAGGCCACGTTTCGTCACGCGACTCCACGTCAGCCCTTTATTTCCCAGGCATAACAGAAGTCTTCTAGTTTTTAAGGTTTGAGGATCGAACCTTGGAAACTAAGTCATGCCGCGATTGGAGGTTCTGGTTGTTTCGACCTGAATGGAAGAAGCTTGGGACAGGACATTTTGCGAACACGACCTCGCACAATTCTTGCTCAAACGACCTGACAATCATCATTTTAGCGACCTGGATTTGTCGGACGCTCTTTTCCGTGCCTTGGAGAGATTCAATGAACCTGCATCCACTCTGTCAGGCGCTCTGCACGCGCTGCAGTGTCTGCCAGGAGCATTAAATGCGTTGTGCTGACTCGACGTCGTTTTGACAGCTTTAACTGCACGACGCATTTGAAACGACGACCCCCATCACGACATTTAATGCGACGTGGGGCGCATTAAATGCGGGGAGAGAGAGAAGGCTGTCGTTTCGGTTCTGAGAGGTTGTAACCGTCGATTCGCAGTCCATATAAAAACTCACATTTTTCAGATGAGGTCACGAAAATCCCTTTTGCTTCGAGTGCTAAGCCTTTGCAAACCAGAAGTTCTTCTTTTCCGATTGGCGCTTCTCAGGCATCTAAAATGAGTTTCGGCCTCGGTCACGCATCCCAGAAGGTAAGATTCTTTTTTCTCCTTCCTCTTTTTTTTTTTTTTTTTTGTTTGGTTGGTGGGCAACGGCGTTGGGTCTCCTGGTGTTCCACCAGAGACGCGCCACTGTTGCCGGGCTCGAGCCGTGGGTGGCGGCTCGAGTTACTGTTAGGGTTTTAGGAATTTGTCCCATGCCGCCGCATGGGACAAAATGCGAAGGCTAAAATGACCGTGTCTGTTGGTGTTGCAGACTCTGGAATAGAACCGTCAACATCCAGACCCGAGGAAGGAACCAGCTCGTCCTCGCTGAAAGTTCCCGAGGACGCATCCCTTGACGTCTTCTCGGCTCACGCGAGAAGAGCTGGATAGGATTAAGAAACAGTTCAATGTCCGCGCAGAGGTGTTCCTCAACCACACCCGGTCATCATGGCATCCTACTGATGGCCTTGCTGCGATCTCCGAAGAGATCTTCAAGGGTAGAGGGATGATTCCCTTCCATCCTTTCATCAGGTCGGTCCTGGATCACTTCGGGATCACACCGATGTAACTCATACCAAACACGTATGTCATCGCCGTCGCGATGTACATCGCGTGCTGCGAAAGCGGCTTGGGCAAGCCAACGGCAGTGGAGCTCGGCGTCGCCTATTACCTTAAAAAGAGTAGGGACAAGGATTCATACTACTTGTCCCAGTGACCTACCATCGCCGAGGGGAACATAGCTATCCCAGCAACGCGGGGGCCTACGAGATGAAATTCTTCTTTTTCTGCTATGACGGCTACTGCCGCTTTCAGATACCAAGTAGGTTCTTCCTCGCTAGGCATATTATCTGTTCGCATGCTCTATAATAACGACCTGTATTCTTTTACAGTTAACAGAACGACCAGCCAAGACTTACTTGATGACCCGGACAGGCTCGTATCTTTTGGAGTTCTTCCTGAGGAAAGCCGGGACGCGAGGAAGCTTGTGACAACCGCGAACTTGCGAAAGTACGGTTTTATCAATAGCAAAGCGTCTTTAGAGCCCCTAGAAGGTAAGTTACATTGATTTCTTTCTTGGTCGCGGAGTAGTTTTGTCTACTAACGCACTTGCATGCAGAAACTATGCCCCCGAAGGAGTCCGAGCAGCCTCGCCGAGCACCGTTCGTCTTCCCTCGATCGAGGAGAGAGAGAGCAGCCAAAGCTGCTCGTCTTATTCCGGCACGACCGGTGCGAACTGTCGCTCCTTCACAGCCCCAACCTGTGCAAGAAGCGACCAAGGCAGAACAGGTCGCTCAGGCACCACCGGCTCGCCCAAGAAGGAAGGTTTCGGCCCAAAGGTCGAAGAAGAGGAAACAGGTTCAGGTCGAAGAGTCTGAGACCGAATCCGAAGAAGAGCCCTTGAGGTCGCGAAAGGACTCAAGGAGGTCGGGCAAGGAACCTGCAAGTGAGGCGATCACCGCCGACAATGCGAAGGACGCACCAGTGCTGGACTCGTTAGGTAGCCTGCCTGAGTACCTGCAGCCGATAGTCTATTCTCTGCTCGAGTGTGGACTATCAGAATCTTACGATGAGTTTGCTGACACAGGCGACGACCTGATGACCACGTCGTTCCAGCATCTAAGCAAGGTAAACGAGTTGCTCTTAAAATTTCATTCTAGTTCATTTCTAACCATTTCTTGCTCGCAGGCTCTACTTGCGATGAGGATGTCTATGGAGAAGACTCGGCTGGGAGCTGCAAAGGGGTCCAGCAACCTAAAGGAGGAGGTCACGAAGCTCAAGAAAAGCCTGGAGTCTGTCGAAGCTAAAAGAACGCAAGCATTCGATGCGGCGAACAGGTATCTGAGCCAAAAGGATGCTGCTTTACGAACGGTGGACTTCCAAAAGGCGGAGCTTGAGCGACGTGCGGAGGAAGTGAAGGAACTTCAAAGGACAACCGCCAGGCTCTCCAAAGAGGTCGGGGAGAAGGACCAGGAGATCCAGACGACCTCCATATGGGCCCAGCAAGTTGAACAGGAAAGAGAGGCCTCCGAACAGCAGAGGCAAGCTCTTGAGGCCGAACTCTAGGAGAGCCGGGAAAAGATTGCTTCACTGACTGAAGAAATGCGGATTCAGTCAGAGGAGACGGAGGAAAAGGCCGCCAACTGGGCGATCAGGTCCATTTATTCCCTCCGATTAAGAAACCCAGATATGGACATTCCCGACCTCCCGAAGGGGTGGCAAGAGACTTTGCGGATTATGGCGGAGGAAGATGATCAGGCAGCCGCGGCTACTCGACGATCCGACCAGGCAGGGGGTTCTGGTTCTGCTTCGAAGGATCCCCCCGACCAGCCGTAGTATAATGAGTCGACTCCATTGTAATTGGGTCTAACTTTTGTTTGTACATAAATGAAGATACATTTTGTTTTCAATTTCAGTTCGCTTTTTCATACATAAGTTCAATTTACAATTCAGTTTTACATAGGCAATATTACATGCGAATTCTTACACGCGAACAGAACACATACGAACTGTTTCCAGCGAACAAAATTAAGCTTTACATTAAAAAGGAAACTAACAAAAACTGATTGAGAGCTGAGTTCGGGATTACTGATAGTATGGCCGGAGGTGTTCGGCATTCCAAGCTTGGGGTACTTTGGAATCGTTCAGTCTTTTGAGATGGTAAGTCCCCGGTCTGATCACCTTGTCGACCCGATACGGCCCTTCCCAGTTAGGTCCTACTACCCCCGCACTCGGCTCTCTGGTCCCAAGGAGAACTTCCTTTAGCACAAGGTCCCCGACCTGGAAGTCTTTTCGCTTGACCTTTGAATCGAAAAACCTCTTTGCTCGCTGTTGGTAGGCTACTATCCTTAGCGAAGCCTTACTGCGATGCTCTTCAACGAGATGCAAGCTTGCCCTCATAAGTGCTTCGTTTTCAACCTCATTGTACAAGTCCCTCCAAAGAGAACCAGTTCCCACCTCTACAGGAATCATCGCTTCGCAGCCATAGGCTAGCGAAAAAGGGGTCTCTAAGGTAGAAGTTCTTGGAGTTGTCCTGTACGCCCATAAGACTTCGGGGAGATCGTCAGCCCAATTTCCTTTGGCCGCCCCGAGCTTGGCCTTTAGAGTGTGCTTGATGGTCTTGTTGATTGCTTCAACTTGGCCATTTGCTTGCGGTCTGGCGACTGAGGCGAATTTTTTATGGATGCCCAGCTCGTCGCAGAACTGTTTGAACTCCTCGTTGTCAAATTGTTTTCCATTGTCCGAGATGAGGGTGTGGGGAATTCCGTAGCGGCACACTATGTTCTTGAAAACGAAGTCTTTCAACTTTCTGGTCGTGATCGCGGCCAGAGGTTCGGCTTTCACCCATTTTGTAAAATAATCGACCGTGACCACGGCATACTTGACCCCTCCCTTTCCAACTGGCATGGGACCGATGAGGTCGATCCCCCACATGGAGAATGGTCAGGGGCTAGACATTGTTATCAGCTCGTGCGAGGGGGCTTGCGGAATGTTCACGAACCGTTGGCACTTGTCACATTTTTTGACAAAATTGTGCGTATCTTCCTGGATCCGGGGCCAATAATATCCCTGGCGAACAACCTTGTTCCTAAGAGATCGAGCAGTTGTGTGATTACCGCAGATTCTTTCGTGAATTTCCCTCATAATGTAGTATGCTTCTTCACTGGTTACACATCGGAGGAGAGGGGCATTGAATATTCTTTTGTACAGCTGGTCCCTGATGAGTGTGTAACGAGCAGATCTTGCTCGCAGGACCCTTGCCTCGACCTTGTCGTCTGGCAAAATCCCATCCTTGAGGTACTGGAAAATGGGAGTCATCCAAGAATCCTGTTGAGTCATGTTCAAGGCCTGTTCGGTTGAGCTGATAGTTGGAGCATCCACGAAACGAACAGGAATGTTGTCTGGA